AACTAAGAATGAATGAGAGGACTTAAAATTAGTTCCTCAAAATTACTATTAAAATAAAAAATTCTGGCAAAATCTTTTAAGAGCAAAAGCTGATAATTCAGAAACTAATATGAACCAAAAGAGACTATAGCTTTATTTAACATTGAATAATAAGATGTTAAAAAATTAAATGAGTAATTTTATGCCACCATGTCTGGAGTAATTAGTTGATACCACTAAAGAAGAAATAAATTACTCACGATTCCTATGAATAGTAATTGTTAACAGGAATTATATTTCTTTTTTAGTGTAGTCAACTCTATTGGAGGAATTTTCCCACTTCTGAGCCTCCCACTTTGTTCCCTCTGCCTGAGATGCTTTTCCTTAGGTCTCCACTTGGGTAACCACATTTCCTTAAGCTTTATTTTTACATGTAGTGTCATTAGTGAAGACTACTACATAAAATAATGAATTTCCTGCCCTCTTTCTCTCACGTGCCCTGCTTTCTTTAGCTTTGTAGTACTTATCACCATAGCGCATATTTACATGTATATTTGTGAATGATTTCACTCCCAGTTAGCCTATGCTCCATGAGGATGGAGACTTCATGTAATTTGTAACTTCTAGATTTTCATTTGGAGCAAAGAGTGATGAATGATAAGATAACTTTATGATGATTTCAATAAAACCAAAAAATCAAACTCACTGATATCAAGTCACTTCTGACTCATAGCGACCTCCTTTGGATTTCTAAGGCAGTAAATCTTTATGGAACTAGATTGCCCAGTCTTTCTTCCATGGAGTGGCTGGTGGGTTTGAATCACCAACCTTCTGGTTAGCAGTCAAATGCCTTAGGCACGACACCACCAGAGCTCCTTTCAATTGGTAGAGTAAAAATATGGCATGCCAGGTCAGCATCTATTTATGATCAATATCTTAGCAAATATGAAATAAGAGAGATTTCTTTAATTCAAGAATCTCTTGTTAGATTTCACTGGGCTCTCAAAAACCATGCCTCTTGATATTCATATCCATCACACAGTGACTCTGGTTTGGCCACATGACAAGCAAAGCCAATGTGACAGACACAAGCAGAGATTTAATAAGTGCTTGCCCATGTGACTTGTCCTCTTGGTCCTTTCATTACTCAGATTATGCTTGCAATCTGGCCTTAAGCTATGAGAAGCCCATTTAGCCCTGCAGAAAGGCCATATAGGCAAGAATCAAGGGTCAGCCTATGGCTCCAGTTAAACTCCCAGCTATAAATTAACACTAACTTGCTTGGATCAGGCAAGCAGTCTGTACAAACAC